GTGAGTGGTAGTGGACTCTGTACATATCCTGTGAGTGGTAGTGGACTCTGTACTCATCCTGTGAGTGGTAGTGGACTCTGTACTCATCCTGTGAGTGGTAGTGGACTCTGTACTCATCCTGTGAGTGGTAGTGGACTCTGTACTCATCCTGTGAGTGGTAGTGGACTCTGTACTCATCCTGTGAGTGGTAGTGGACTCTGTACTCATCCTGTGAGTGGTAGTGGACTCTGTACTCATCCTGTGAGTGGTAGTGGACTCTGTACTCATCCTGTGAGTGGTAGTGGACTCTGTACTCATCCTGTGAGTGGTAGTGGACTCTGTACTCATCCTGTGAGTGGTAGTGGACTCTGTACTCATCCTGTGAGTGGTAGTGGACTCTGTACTCATCCTGTGAGTGGTAGTGGACTCTGTACTCATCCTGTGAGTGGTAGTGGACTCTGTACTCATCCTGTGAGTGGTAGTGGACTCTGTACTCATCCTGTGAGTGGTAGTGGACTCTGTACTCATCCTGTGAGTGGTAGTGGACTCTGTACTCATCCTGTGAGTGGTAGTGGACTCTGTACTCATCCTGTGAGTGGTAGTGGACTCTGTACTCATCCTGTGAGTGGTAGTGGACTCTGTACTCATCCTGTGAGTGGTAGTGGACTCTGTACTCATCCTGTGAGTGGTAGTGGACTCTGTACTCATCCTGTGAGTGGTAGTGGACTCTGTACTCATCTTGTGAGTGGTAGTGGACTCTGTACTCATCCTGTGAGTGGTAGTGGAGTCTGTACTCATCTTGTGAGTGGTAGTGGACTCTGTACTCATCCTGTGAGTGGTAGTGGACTGTACTCATCCTGTGAGTGGTAGCGGACTCTGTACTCATCTTGTGAGTGGTAGTGGACTCTGTACTCATCCTGTGAGTGGTAGTGGACTCTGTACATATCCTGTGAGTGGTAGTGGACTCTGTACTCATCCTGTGAGTGGTAGTGGACTCTGTACTCATCCTGTGAGTGGTAGTGGACTCTGTACTCATCCTGTGAGTGGTAGTGGACTCTGTACTCATCCTGTGAGTGGTAGTGGACTCTGTACTCATCCTGTGAGTGGTAGTGGACTCTGTACTCATCCTGTGAGTGGTAGTGGACTCTGTACTCATCCTGTGAGTGGTAGTGGACTCTGTACTCATCCTGTGAGTGGTAGTGGACTCTGTACTCATCCTGTGAGTGGTAGTGGACTCTGTACTCATCCTGTGAGTGGTAGTGGACTCTGTACTCATCCTGTGAGTGGTAGTGGACTCTGTACTCATCCTGTGAGTGGTAGTGGACTCTGTACTCATCCTGTGAGTGGTAGTGGACTCTGTACTCATCCTGTGAGTGGTAGTGGACTCTGTACTCATCCTGTGAGTGGTAGTGGACTCTGTACTCATCCTGTGAGTGGTAGTGGACTCTGTACTCATCCTGTGAGTGGTAGTGGACTCTGTACTCATCCTGTGAGTGGTAGTGGACTCTGTACTCATCCTGTGAGTGGTAGTGGACTCTGTACTCATCCTGTGAGTGGTAGTGGACTCTGTACTCATCCTGTGAGTGGTAGTGGACTCTGTACTCATCCTGTGAGTGGTAGTGGACTCTGTACTCATCCTGTGAGTGGTAGTGGACTCTGTACTCATCCTGTGAGTGGTAGTGGACTCTGTACTCATCCTGTGAGTGGTAGTGGACTCTGTACTCATCCTGTGAGTGGTAGTGGACTCTGTACTCATCCTGTGAGTGGTAGTGGACTCTGTACTCATCCTGTGAGTGGTAGTGGACTCTGTACTCATCCTGTGAGTGGTAGTGGACTCTGTACTCATCCTGTGAGTGGTAGTGGACTCTGTACTCATCCTGTGAGTGGTAGTGGACTCTGTACTCATCCTGTGAGTGGTAGTGGACTCTGTACTCATCCTGTGAGTGGTAGTGGACTCTGTACTCATCCTGTGAGTGGTAGTGGACTCTGTACTCATCCTGTGAGTGGTAGTGGACTCTGTACTCATCCTGTGAGTGGTAGTGGACTCTGTACTCATCCTGTGAGTGGTAGTGGACTCTGTACTCATCCTGTGAGTGGTAGTGGACTCTGTACTCATCCTGTGAGTGGTAGTGGACTCTGTACTCATCCTGTGAGTGGTAGTGGACTCTGTACTCATCCTGTGAGTGGTAGTGGACTCTGTACTCATCCTGTGAGTGGTAGTGGACTCTGTACTCATCCTGTGAGTGGTAGTGGACTCTGTACTCATCCTGTGAGTGGTAGTGGACTCTGTACTCATCCTGTGAGTGGTAGTGGACTCTGTACTCATCCTGTGAGTGGTAGTGGACTCTGTACTCATCCTGTGAGTGGTAGTGGACTCTGTACTCATCCTGTGAGTGGTAGTGGACTCTGTACTCATCCTGTGAGTGGTAGTGGACTCTGTACTCATCCTGTGAGTGGTAGTGGACTCTGTACTCATCCTGTGAGTGGTAGTGGACTCTGTACTCATCCTGTGAGTGGTAGTCTGTGAGTAGTAGTGGACTCTACTCATCCTGTGAGTGGTAGTGGACTCTGTACTCATCTTGTGAGTGGTAGTGGACTCTGTACTCATCTTGTGAGTGGTAGTGGACTCTGTACTCATCTTGTGAGTGGTAGTGGACTCTGTACTCATCCTGTGAGTGGTAGTGGACTCTGTACTCATCCTGTGAGTGGTAGTGGACTCTGTACTCATCCTGTGAGTGGTAGTGGACTCTGTACTCATCCTGTGAGTGGTAGTGTACCTTATACTCATCCTGTGAGTAGTAGTGGACTCTGTACTCATCTTGTGAGTGGTAGTGGACTCTGTACTCATCTTGTGAGTGGTACTGAACATAATAGTTATATTTAGAGTAATATATGACCGTTAAAGGTCTATAAAAATTGGACTTTTTCAAGTCCTACCGTTACAGAGAAGTCTGGTGGGCAAGTGACATTTGTTCTAAATATTAACATAAGTAAACACCTTTTAGAATTCTATGGAAAAATATAATTATTTTTACATTTCTTTTCTATTCTTTTAATAAATCTTTTTTAAAAAAATTTTGTTTAGATAATGGTTTGAATTAGTTTTAAAAAGTTGGGGATATCTAATAAATATTTTGTTATTCGAAGTTAAGTTTTTCAAAAATTTAAATATAGAAGATGTTTCAATTCGGTTTAGAGGGCTAACTATTGTTTTCCTTTCCCTGCACAATGTGAACCTGAACGATCCCCAATACTCTGCCAGTACACTCATATCATCATTATCTCAGTAAGTGTTTCTCAGGCATCCCAAGATTATTCTCTTTTTTTTTTTTTTTTTTTTTTTGAGATATATACAAGAGTTGTTACATTCTTGTACAGCCACTAGTACGCGTAGCGTTTCGGGCAAGTCCTTAATCCTATGGTCCCTGGAATACGATCCCCTGCCGCGAAGAATCGTTTTTTCATCCAAGTACACATTTTACTGTTGCGTTAAACAGAGGCTACAGTTAAGGAATTGCGCCCAGTAAATCCTCCCCAGCCAGGATACGAACCCATGACATAGCGCTCGCGGAACGCCAGCGCTTCTGATTATAATAATCATCCCAAGATTATTCTCCTGGCTTCTCTTTGTACCTTCCCAAACTGGTTTAGTCACCTCCACAGATCTCCAGTATCATCTATTGATACTAGTAATGGCTCCAAAGGGCCACCACTTACGGGCTATTCATGCCCGTGCCACCTTTTGGGTGGCTTAATCTTCATCAATCAATATTGTTTAGTCTGCCTTTACCCAAACAATACATGACAGGGGCAGCATAAGCAATAAGAGATCTCACAGTATGTGATTACCATTGGAATGTGAAGTGTAAAATATGATGAATTATGTACTGTATGGGTTTGTGAGACCCGTGAGGGACCTTATATAGATGAGGCTAGACGTAGCCTCGCCGGTCGGCCGAGCGGACAGCACGCTGGACTTGTGATCCTGTGGTCCTGGGTTCGATCCCAGGCGCCGGCGAGAAACAATGGGCAGAGTTTCTTTCACCCTATGCCCCTGTTACCTAGCAGTAAAATAGGTACCTGCGTGTTAGTCAGCTGTCACGGGCTGCTTCCTGGGGGTGGAGGCCTGGTCGAGGACCGGGCCGCGGGGACACTAAAGCCACGAAATCATCTCAAGATAACCTCAAGATATAGCCTAAAGTACTCTATCGTTAAAAGATGTATTCCATAACCACTTGGGCTGGACGGTAGAGCGACGGTTTCGCTTCATGCAGGTCGGCGTTCAATCCCCGACTGTCCACAAGTGGTTGGGCACCATTCCTTCCTGTCGTCCCATCCCTAATCCTTATCCTGACCCCTTGCCTGTGTTATATAGTCGTAATGGCTTGGTGCTTTCCCCTGATAACTCGTTCCCTCACTTCTCAATAAACCTACTTCAACTTGAACAGAATTAAAGTTAGATCCCTTGATTGTTTCAAGCGTAGGTTAGACATATATATGCACGCGTTTGGGTGCATATAAATAGGACCTGCTCGTATGGGGCCAGTCGGCCTTATGGAGTTATTTTGAATCTTATGGTCTTAAAATATTAATTTTATATTAGTTTGCTAATTTTCATTCATTTACATTCCACATGCTGCTTATATTACCAATAAATATTATATTATATTATATTATATGGCCATTATAAATATTTCGTTGTAGATCTGTTGTTACATATTCATTATAGTTTTGACCATCTCAAAATGGTGTAAGTAATACTGGCAGGAATTGTATTACAAAAATATATTTCATTTTTGGTGTTGTTGTACGGAGAGTCGTGACGTCACAACGGGTACGTTTCTCCCATACATATATATATTTCAGCTGTATTATTTTAGCAATGTTTAAAATTTTCAAACTCATTTGAAATTTACAGCGATGATATATTTGACACAAAATCAAAAAATCTGTAACAAGGAAATTAATTGTGAGTGACGTCACAAACCATTCGGATTTAACCCAGAGCGCGGGTAAATGACGTCATGAATCCTTCTAACCAATCCCAGGAGCGCCGATGTGTGACGTCCCGCTGGCCTACAGCCAATGGCGAGCAGGGAGGCGTGACGTCACAGAGCCCGCTGGCCAATCAGAGGTTGCGTGGAGCCAGCCAAGCTTCACCAGGGGTAAACATCATGGCGACCCACATCCCCGGCATTTTCGAGGAGAATGTCTGCACCTCCATCAAGTCGTGCAAGGTCCTGGTGGTGGGCGCCGGCGGCATCGGCTGCGAGCTGCTCAAGGACCTGGTGCTGACGGGCTTTGAGCAGATTGAAGTGGTGAGTCGTGGCGTGAGAAACTTCAGTCCTCACTGATGCTGTCTGGACCCCGTGTGAGGGCGGTCCTGCCTGGGGTCCTGCCTGGGGTCCCGCCTGGGGTCCCGCCTGGGGTCCCGCCTGGGGTCCCGCCTGGGGTCTTCTAGGGTCTAGCCTGAGGTCTTCTGGGGTCTAGCCTCGGGTCTAGCCTGAGGTCTTCTGGGGTCCAGCCTGGGTCTAGTTCGGGGTCTTCTGGGGTCAGGCCAGGGTCCAGTTTGGGGTCCGTATGATGGGGTCAAGTATGTCAACAAGGACACACGTGTTCCCACAAAGCTCACTTTATAACCTGTAAAACTGTCTGTAGTCAGTAGGCTGGGTTGGGTGGACTGGGATGGGTTTGGGTTTGATTAAGTTGGGCCTAGTTAAGAACATAACAAAAGTAACTGCAGAAGGCCTATTGGTCCATACGAGGCAGCTCCTATCTATAACCCCCAATCCCACTCATATACATGTCCAACCCGCGCTTGAAACAATCGAGGGACCCCAACTCCACCACGTTACGCGGCAATTGGTTCCACAAATCAACAAGGTCAAGGTTGTGGGCCACATGGTACACAGACGGCTTGACGAAGTTCATTTTCTAATTGTAGAAACTTATATGTTAACACTTTCGCCCACGGATGATGAAATCCAAATTTTAGTCAAAATAGGAGTCAAAAATTTTTTTCTTGATATGCACCGATGACAAAGTATGGCGTAAAAAATAAAAAAAACTGGCTTGCTTTCGCTGCGGTTTTGGACATTATATGCATATACCCCTTGAAGGGAATTTCATTGTGAATCCATTGATACCCAAATGAAAGGCCTAGGACCAGAATTGAGGTAATAAAGTTGGAAAGAGCAAGCCCATTTTATTGCTCTTTATTAGCGCTCACTGGGGTAACGCGCTGTCACTTTCTCTGTTTGCTGCGGAGGGGTACGCCGGGCTTTTGGACTTTATATATACATATAACCCTGTAGAGAATATTATTGCGAACACAATGATACAAAAATGTAAGACCTAAGACGAGAATTGTGGTGACCAAAGTGAAAAGAGTGTACACATTTCATTGCTCTTTAGCGTTCCCGGGTAACTTGCTCTCAATTTCTTTGTTTTGTGCGGGTGGTACGCCGGGCATTGTGACTTCATGTGCATTTAATCGCGTGGAGAATTCTATTGCAAACACATTTATATCAAATTGGAAAACCTAGGATGAGAATTGAGATGACAAAGTTGAAAAGAGTCTACACTTTTCAGTATTACTGCGAGCTCCCTCGGAAGGTCCAAAACCACTAGGGGAGGAGAAATGCTCGCTCGCCCAAAGCGCGAAAGTGTTAAGTTGCTGTGTGATGGTTTGCTTGGGCTTTCAAGGGCCCAAATCAATATCATTTGTTTTAAAGAATTTTTTTATTATATTGCCATATTTTAAGGTCTAGATTATTGGCTAGATTTTGAGCTTTATGTGAAAGAAATGACTTGCCTTCATGTTGGGTCTGCATTTAATCGCCGTGGACCCAAATGACCGGACAATTGCTTTGTCTTCATAGTAAGCGGCTCATTAAAAGTGCCTTAGTCACACTGGCTTGAGAACTTGTGGTAGTTCGACCCGTTCTCTCATCTGTTACGTAGCGTTTGTCACACAATGAACCAGGCCATTAGGAGAGCGACGTATTGGTAAAATCAGTCATTGGTGGTTTCTATAAGTGGGTCTATAAAATTGGCTTTAATGGGCTCAACATCCTCCCAGCGAGCATCAGAAATATTGCCGGAACAACCGTGGACGTCTTCAAGAGGAAACTAGATTGTTTCCTCCAAGGAGTGCCGGACCAACCGGGCTGTGGTGGGTATGTGGGCCTGCGGGCCGCTCCAAGCAACAGCCTGGTGGACCAAACTCTCACAAGTCAAGCCTGGCCTCGGGCCGGGCTTGGGGAGTAGAAGAACTCTCAGAACCCCATCAACCAGGTATCAACCAGGGTTAGGCAGGTTGCTTAGGTTTGTACAGTTCTGGTTGGGCAAAACGGTTGTAATTTTTTTTTTTACAGTTACAAAATGAGAAAACGTACTGGTTACCTTGGCCTCTCTCACGTTCAACCTTGGAACCCTGATGCCGGTGCTTTCTCCCTTGGTTCATTGTGTTGGCAGTCTGGTCTATTTTGAGCCATTTCTCACTCGGGCGAGACTCGTCTGTCCTGCCGCAGCTGCCTCTCGAGGCCAGGCAGCGTGCTGAATGTGGCGCTTCTGTATTCACCGCTTTCCTTGTCCACGATTTTCATTTCAATCTTGAGGCCTATCACATAGTTACTCTGGGGAAAATTTGTTTATCCTAAGAAGTATACACAAGTTTGCTTCTCTCTGACTTTGCTTTCCTTGCTTATTATGCCTCTTTTCGAGACTTGGTACACAGTTTAAGTAAACTAAATAATTCAAATATAACTTTGGTACAAGTTAGCTATTCCTTCCCTCCATTCTCGTATCCCAGCTCTTTGTCTTCGTATCCCAATTCCTTGTCCTCGTATCCCTTCCAAACACTATATAGTTGTACTGTACTGGCTTGGTGCTTTCTTCTCATAATTATCTTCCTCCCCTTTTGGATAAAACTGAGCCAAGTTATTTCACGAATTTACAGTAGTACTTGGTAAAAGTTCTGCCATAAAGGTGGGTGCGTATTGTTTACGCACATTTCATCACCTGTCTTTTTCTGTGTATGTCGGACATCTTTCTCCGAGGAGCTTCTCTCCAGGTGTCATGGCATTGACGAAAAAGCTTCCAATGTATCATTAATGATGGTTTACATTTTCAGATTGATCTCGATACGATTGACGTGAGCAACTTGAACCGTCAGTTTCTCTTCCAAAAGCAACATGTTGGTCGCAGCAAGTCCGAGGTGGCAAAGGAATCTGCTCTCCGCTTCAACCCCAAGGCCAACATCACTGCCTACCACGACTCCATCACCAAGTAAGAACTGGTGTAAACTGGTGTTTATTATTCTAATTATGGTTTGTGTTTTTGTCTCGGTAAATCTGGAAACTTGAGAAATTTATTGAAATTTTGAATATACACGAAACGCACTGTGTACGTATGTATTAACATGTTTCCCACTTTCATGAGATGTGGAGGTATCTACTTGCCCAACTACTAAGGTCTACTTGCCAAACACCGAACAAACCTTTTGCTATAAAACAAATGAAAAACTGTTGAACAAATTTGAAGAAAGAAAAATGTCATAAAGGTTTGTTCAGTGTATGTAAGGTAGGCTGCTACATTATTTAAAACATCGAATATCATATTGTTGTTTTTCGGTGGTAGAACAGATTAATTTGATTTCCATTATTGTCAATGGGGAAATTCGTTTTGTATGACGTCCGTTTCACATGACGATCACGGCGCCAGAACGGATTAAATTTATTATTCGAGGTTTCACTGTATGTGTAGCTCCATCTGCCCTATTCTATTTTTCATTCCACTTCCACATTTCGTCTTCTGTTGCTGATTTTTCTTTCCTGTAGGTGCCACATATACAGTATATATCTTAGATACCAGACGCTGATACCAGTGTGCTGACATTGGGGGGAGAGAGCGAGTAAGTGCAAGTCAATTAGGTTACAACTTGAGTTCAGTGATATTACTGAGCCAGAGACATGAATTGTATTGGGATCTGAATCATTGTGAAATTATTGTATTGAGATAAAAGCAGAAAGAATTAAAAGGTACAAATATTGTTGACCAGACCACACACTAGAAGGTGAAGGAACGATGACGTTTCGGGCCGTCCTGGACCATTCTCAAGTCGATTGTCCAGAACTGGTCCGAAACGTCGTCGTCCCTTTATCTTCTAGTGTGTGGTCTGGTCAACATACTTTAGCCACGTTATTGTGACTCATCGCCTGCAGGTACAAATATTAGTCGAGTAGCCCCACTGGGACATCGATTTGTGACGTTAATTATTAAATCTTGATATATTTAAAACTACCGGGGGTACAAGGATGTTGCAGGTGAGAGACCCTGTATTATCGAAGAACTGAATACTGTTGTAATTTTTCACTTGTGTATATGTCAAAAGAAAAAACTTTATGCCATTTGGCATTCTGATGTGAAAATATTGGGGTGCAGACAAAGTAAGATTTAACTATTTTCCAGACCCACATATGGAGTGCCTTTTTACAAGAAGTTCACACTCGTGATGAATGCCCTCGACAACAGAGCAGCGCGGAACCACGTTAACCGCATGTGTTTGGCTGCTGACATTCCGTTGGTTGAGAGCGGCACAGCAGGGTATCTGGGGCAAGTTACAGTAAGTTGACAACATTGTTGTAAGTCTCGATTTTTCTCCGCAAGTTGATGGGATTGTAACGATTCTTGTGCTGGCTTAATTTGCAGCTTGCATTCTAGTAGACTTGATAATGGTCCAGGATGGACCAAAATGTCACTGCTTTTATTTTCAGATGTGTGTGTGTTAACAACGGTGATCATTACACCTATCCCTTCCATACTTTTCACCGTGCTCGTACCTTCCTCCTCTTAAGTTTTCCTCTTCCTCACCTCTCTTGCCTTACCTATTCTCCTCCCTCGCGCCTCCCTCGTCTCATCACAATCGACTTGATAATGGTCCAGGACGGACCGACACGTTGTCGTCTTTTCATCTTCTAGTGTGTGATTTGGTCAACATTCTTCGGCCACGTTATTGTGACTCATCATCCGCCTAGGAATCATTAGTGTGTGGAGTTCCACAGTTGTCTCCAGTCTGCTCTCTCGTCTATTGGTCTGAATTTGCTCTGGCAGTGAAAAGTTATGAAATGTTTCATTTTTGATGTGGAGGGTTTTAACAAAGATGTGAATGACTGCAAGAAAACTAAATCTAAACATTGGAAGAGGCATTAAAATGAGGCTTTGGGATCATAGTGTTCAAGATACTGACAGGGAGTTGACAAGAGATAGACATTACTTTCCTGGCGAGAAATGACAGAATGAGGGGGCACAGGTGTGTGTGAAACATGTGCAGGTGAACCCTCAGAGAACTAAAGAAACTCCTGCAATATGCATTAAAGGTAATAAAAATGTTTAATGAGCTCGAACCAGACCACTATTCATGGCTTTAAGGGCAAGTAAAATTGTACTGGAAAATCAGAAGTTGGTATAAATGTGCACCAGCTACAATAGCTAGCGAGGTAAGGCTCTTAAGAGCTGCATCTTTCTCCCATAGACACGACCAGGTAGCACCTGTCGATGCTAATGTTCATTAGTGCTGAAAACCCCTGGGCTGAAGTAATCTATGTTGGAGTGGCTTAAATAATTTCATTGTCACAGCGGTTCTATTAAGTTAACACTACGTAATTTGCGACGCTTTATTCATCGCTTTTCATTCGCTGTCTGCTTTTTCAATACAGTACTGTATTTGATTTGTTTAGCCACACCATGGGATACAACTCTTGCGTGCATATGCAGTTTAAGGGGTTAATGCAGTAACATTAGTCACCATAAGCAGAGTGCACCAATGGTTATGTAGTAACATTAGTTTCAAAGCGTTATATGACAGAGTGCTGGGAAGACGGGACACCACGAGCGTAGCTCTCATCCTGTAACTACACTTAGGTAATTAATTAGTAGTTGTCATCAGTGAAGTGTAGCTTGATCTATATACTATAATGCTTCTTGGGCAGTTTTGTGTATAGAGGTAAACTGGAAGGCAAGATTTCGTCGTTCTCTGGTGTATATCTTGCAGTGAACAAGATGCTTTCAGTTACTATGTTATGGTGACAGTTTCCTTGCCATGTTGTTTTAACTTTTTTATTTGATGGTATAAAAATATTATACTGTAGTGTACGTGATCAAATGTTTTGTATTACTTGTTATCAATTACTTTTTAAATCTTAACATTTTACATAGTTATTCATCCCAGGTTCTGAGTGGCAGCCTTTGCTCAGTAAGAGCAAATGAATGTGGTTGAATGTGTGAGTCTCTTATGTCATCATGGTTACAAGTGTACTGCGTTGAGTGAGTGAATAACTCGTACTCTCATACAAGACAAAATGTTGTTTACATGGCTGCAATGATATGGTCAGCGTAGACAGGTGGTTTGTCTGTGTCAGCGTAGACAGGTGGTTCATCTGTTTCAGCGTAGACAGGTGGTTCGTCTGTGTCAGCGTAGACAGGTGGTCCGTCTGTGTCAGCGTAGACAGGTGGTTCGTCTGTGTCAGTGTAGACAGGTGGTTCGTCTGTGTCAGCGTAGACAGGTGGTTCGTCTGTGTCAGCGTAGACAGGTGGTTCGTCTGTGTCAGCGTAGACAGGTGGTTCGTCTGTGTCAGCGTAGACAGGTGGTTCGTCTGTGTCAGCGTAGACAGGTGGTTCGTCTGTGTCAGCGTAGACAGGTGGTTCGTCTGTGTCAGCGTAGACAGGTGGTTCGTCTGTGTCGGAGTAGACAGGTGGTTCGTCTGTGTCGGAGTAGACAGGTGGATCATCTGTATGCTCTAAATTACATTCTTTGTCACAATTTGTTAAATCATTCGGGTCCACTTGCATGTGTCCTACACTAAGTGTTTCCTACGTATCTATAGGCCTGGCTTGATATGTAGCCATGTAGTGTGTAACACAACCCACACATGTGAAAATAAATGAAAATTATGATTTTTCAGTCTGTCCTGGATGTCTGTTTCTAGCTATGTAAGTGACAACTTGTTCTCTACTTGTGTAATTTGAGATGGTTACCCGAATGGAGAATTAAGTATATAATTCACACCTTGAACTCGATACATCCGGGTGTTCGAGGCTTTATTTGTAACCACTGAAGATTTTGTCTTCGTTATTGTCCTGGTTGATCAGTCCAGCAACCAGGAGGCCTGGTCGACGACCGGACCGCGGGGACGCTAAGCCCCGGAAACACCTCAAGGTAACCTCAAGGTAAGGTTATTGTGGCTCGTCTTGCCTCGGCCCACACAAGTGTTCATCGCAGAGTCTGCCTCCGCAAAATGACACATTTGTATAAACGACATAGTTTTGCCTATTTTCCACATTCCCAGTCTTTATCTGGCCATTTACTGATTTGCAGCAGAATGCACAGTACTAAACCCATGTACAATACATTATTTATCTTGAATTGATGACGGGTCACTCCTGTGTGGAGCCTAAATCATTTATGTACAAGTACTTTTGAGAACTCGTTCATGAATGCAAAAGGGATTCACTATTTATTGTAAACCACTCGCAGTAGTGGTTCTCACTTAATTCTCTCTCGTTCTCCTTCAAGGTTATCAAGAAAGGCCTGACGGAATGTTATGAGTGCCAGCCCAAGCCGGCACAAAAGACCTTCCCCGGCTGCACCATCAGGAACACTCCCTCGGAGCCCATACACTGTATTGTGTGGGCCAAGCATCTTTTCAAGTGAGTATCGAGATTTTAAATGTAAAGGCCGAATATTGATAGACAAGCCAGGATTGAACTCTACTTCAAAAGTATCGGGAGACTCGTTCCTGTAACTAAAGCTTCAACACAGGTTCATGGAGGTCATGCCTAAATACAACAAGGATTTGTGCTCTGGATCCATGCTATTTGGATAAGTCACATTGTACTCATGGTGCTTCAATGGATTTTAAAACATAACTAACCTAACCTAACTGAGTCTAACACAGGCTAACCTAAGCTAATATATCATACCTAATGATATGTGATTTTGGTAATTGTAAAAAGTTTTGTTGGAACACACGTGTACAATTTAACCATTTCCCTGATATGTCTAGTATATACGTGTATAACATATTTGGACAGTTTTGTGTCATTGTTGGTGATGTAAAGATTGTGATGTAGAATGTTATCACGTTTACAAACGTTTTCCAGTCAGCTGTTTGGGGAAGCCGACCCAGATGAGGATGTGTCGCCGGACTCGGCAGACCCTGAACAGGTTGGGGATGCCGGCAAGTCGGCTCTTGATGCCGAAGCGAACGACCACGGCAACGTAGAAAGAATATCCACACGAGGCTGGGCTATATCGCACAATTATGACTCTAAGGTATGCTGCTTTTGTTCCATCTTTCGGTATTGATGCATTCTTCCCAGCGGAATAATTATCTGAGGGATAGGAAATAAGGATGCCTAGACTTTCTAAATACAGTATAGTGTGGCTGCTTCTGCTAAATATAAATGTAATGTAGTCTTTATTGCCTTGTATAATTATCTAGTGTCTCCCATTCACTTGATCATTGGAGATTTGAACTTGGGCCTCAAATTACAAGACATAGTTTGAATTGAATGATCCAAATAAATGAAATATTATTACCCACACAACTGTGAATTCCATCGTATAACTATCCTGTTTCATCTCGTTTAATAATCTTTCCGGTTCTCATCTAAGTATAATCTTATCAACACTGCCTCTCTAAACATTGTTCAGCTTCATTTGCTGTCGACACATAAGTTGGCATCATTTACTGTATTTTGACACAACGTAACGTGCTCTGCCTGTCTTAAATGAGTCGATGAAATATAACGTTAAGTGTCAAAAGTAGTAAACGTCATTTCTTTGGGAATCTCTAGTGATCTATCGAGGTTATCTTGAGATGATTTCGGGGCTTTAGTGTCCCCGCGGCCCGGTCCTCGACCAGGCCTCCACCCCCAGGAAGCAGCCCGTGACAGCTGACTAACACCCAGGTACCTATTTTACTGCTAGGTAACAGGGACATAGGGTGAAAGAAACTTTGCCCATTGCTTCTCGCCGGCGCCTGGGATCGAACCCAGGACCACAGGATCACAAGTCCAGCGTGCTGTCCGCTCGGCCGACCGGCTCCCTTGTGATACTTGGAGTTGCAACCTATTGCGGATGTTGTATATCCTGGGTGAAAATTAGTGCAGCGTCTGATGTAAAAATGCACCGAAAATAATAGTTACGCAATTATTTGTTGTCCTGTCGTGCCTTTGGGAATACTTATTCACATTAACAACATAAAGAATATACAACAACTAAGATCTTTACAGATACTGTAAGTGATTATATATATTTGAAGGCTGCCTAGGCAAAATAGTTTGAATATCATTAAGGTTGTAATATTATAATGTAAATCTTTGTATGAAATGACAATGAACGTGAGAAACATTTTCAAAATTTCTCAAAACTCAAAACAATTTTAAGGGGGCCATGAGTTCCAAATATGCCAAAAATATGCAATAAATGAAAACTAGTTTGATTTCAATCAAACTTTTTTGACGTGTAGTATTTAAAAAGGGTTTCATCTGGTCCAAGTCTCGGCATCATAGCATAAATAGGAAGGGAGAAAAAAAAAATATTGAATTGTCAATTTTTGACCATTTTGGAAATTTTTTTTATCAAGCACAAGTGTCAACTGAAATAATGTCTATGACTCAGCTATCACAATAGCATATATTAAAAAAAAGTAATAATAGTGTATACAAAAATTAAGTTAAAATAACAATTTTTTTTTTTTTTTTTTTTCATTTGTTTATCGGACAATTTGCATGAAATTTATACACCTGACTGCACATACGCCTATCTTTAAGGGTGCCAATTTTGGAGGAAATTGGTTGATGTCAACCTCAGCCACCGATGGCCAGCACCTTAGACTTTAATTTTGAATTATTTATTTTTTAAGTAACATAAACATAGTCCCTACTCTCATTTTTATTCAATTTACATGAAGCTTATATCTTATATGTAAAGTTTGTCTCTACTCTCATTTTTATTCAATTTACATGAAGCTTTACATCTTATATGTAAAGTTTGTCTCTAAAATCTCACGCCAGCATTGTCTCCCAAGTTTATTTATTGATTTTATAATAGCAATAAACATGATATATTTGTATAATTTATGGGGGAACTTTGACTATTTGTATTAGTAAAACTAAACATATTTTGGAAGATCTGCTACATCAGATCCTTTATTATATGCTAATGTGTCAGAAAAGTGTCATAGAATGATTATATATGAAACTTGTGGTTCTAGGAACTTAAGGGAAATGTGTAATATTCATTAAAAAAAAAATTAGATCTCCCTTTCTATTTAGGCTGCAGTACTGAAACTTGGAACAATTGCAGCCCTTTTCATATACAAGTAGTCAAAAAAGATTTGTTGACTTTGAACAAAGTTTAACCCTTGTGTTTTGCAAGGGCTAATTGGCCTTTGTCACCCACAGGTGCATAACAAAAAAATATTCTTCTTAACCTGTTAATTTGTGTTCCCTGACCATGGAAAAAATAATAAAAAAAAATCGTAGGTGGAATATTTTTGCCGCAATTGAGAGGGGAAGTCTGGTAAAAAAAAGAGACGTTGACAGAGCAGGCGCCAGATGAGGTCTGCTCCGCCCCAGCTGTCAGGCGGTGGTTGCCTCAAAGATATTATTACCTAATTCAATGTCTGATATTTTTTTTTTTTTTTTTAATTTTTGGCTGTTTTTTACTGACCACCAGTAAACATGACAAGTCGCGCAGACGACACACCTCCTTCACCAAAATGGCGGCTCCCAACATACTCCTATTGCTGTTATTACACTATATATACACGTTATATACAAGTATCTACATTTATGTTCACCATAACGAACCACTAAGCTGGTATGGTGAGTGGCAGCCAGTGGCAGTCCACCACTGGCTGTCACTCCCTCCCTCACCTCACTTGATTCGTCCCCACCATTCTCCTCCCACCATACTGTTTTTGGTATTATTCACTATATACAGATGTTATATATAAGTATCTGCATGTTTTGTTCACCATGGCAAACACCTAAGCTGGTATAGTGAGTCCAGACAGTAAAAGGTGGTCACACAGTCAGCAGACAATGCTACATCCCTCCCCACCAAGATTATTCCTCCCTCTACAAAGCTAATTATCACAACAATCTTGCTATTATCAGAATCCTGGTCATTTTTATCAGTCAGGGGTCTTCTGTAATAATATAATCGCTAAATAATAGTATGAACATATATATTATGGCATTTCTATACGATGCTGTGGTCACAAGCTGAACAGCAGTGCTGTGAACTCTGCTGCGTGTGCCAGCATTGGGTGACTCACTCAGTACTGAGGCCCTCACATCCAGGAATGTGGCCCACGATATTTAAAAAAAATGGCGTCTGTTTAAAAGAGCCCTGATGAAGATGAGGTGAGCCCCGTGTATCTGCGGGCCATTTAAATCTTGTGTAGTACTCCAACACGTCATATGACGTGTTGCGCAGTTTAAGGGTTAAAAACTAATTTATGGCCCCATAAAACAAAAGTGCTCCAGAAACATCAACTTGAAATAAAACTTTTACAGCATGGCTTTCAGCAAAGTTGACTGATATTGGAATGGTTGTAGTCAAGTGGGAGGGTTTATGTGGACAAGAACTCAAGGCATGCATGTGCAGAATACAGTATTACTAAATACTCTGAGCATGTATATTACTCTTTACTACACAGCTGTGAGTAGGGGTGTCACATTTGTCATTACGAAGAGATGGCATCACGTCTCAAATATTAATTGAATTGTATTCCTGTAATATTTCATATAAAATCTTGAGCATAAGGAAGTTTTTAGGCATTAATATAAGGTAGCGTGTTCGTTTATCATAACAGGTGGTAGCATCTCGTGTCGTGTGATTACACATGCTAGCGAGCTCTGCTCTTTCCTAAAAAGTGTTCTTTTCTGCCATAACATAAGCTAGGCTTTTCTGACTGCTGCAGAAGTTGCCTCTCTTCTATCACAACTTCCACGGCTCTTGCTAAAGTCTAGATGTGATGACCATGTGGGCCTGTAGACTTACAACCAGGCCTGGCGGCAAGAATACAACTTGCCGAACTACAGGCAGCTAATATAGCTGTCTGTAGGCAACTAATATAGCTGCCTGTAGCCTGTAGTATGGACGAATACAGAAATCGTCCATAGGTGATGGACATGAAACAAGTGTACAGACAGTCTCGCTAACAGAGGCCAAGTTTTTGCATGACTTGGCCTTATAATAATTGCTTGGGCTCGGCTGGAGGTAGAATTGGCTATCTGGATTTATATTTAACATCAATTTCCTATCTTTGCAGAAATTGTTTGGAAAACTTTTCAGCGATGACATCAGTTACTTGTTGTCCATGGATAAGCTCTGGGAGAAGCGACGACGACCGACGCCTCTAGAATGGGATAAATTACCAGATGAAAGTAAGACAACTTAATTTTTTTTGGGGGGGGGGGGGGAATTGTATTAAAAGACGTTTGTTAATTTTTTACCCTTATCAATTCACGACTTAAGTGTGAAACTTTCTTTTCATGTGTGTGTGGATCAAGTTTGTTTGTTTCAGCTACGTTATTGCACCTTAATCCATAGTCTTTTGTCTAGTAGGGAATTTTTTTTGTCTGTTCCTACATAATACTGTACTAGTATAAATAATTTGATTCGGGTTGTCAATGTACTCGCCTAGTTGTGCTTACGAGGGTTGAGCTTTGGCTCTTTGATTCCGCCTCCTATGTCAATATATGTGACACACTTTGACCAAACCACACTAGAAAGTGAAGGGACAACGACGCTTTGGTCCATCCTGGACTATTCTCAAGTCGATTGTGTTGTTGACTTGAGGATGGTCCAGGACGGACCGAAACGTCGTCGTCTTCACTTTCTAGTGTGTGGTTTGGTCAACATATTTCAGCCACGTTATTGTGACTCCTCGTCTGCATATGTGACATTGTGTGAGTGTGGCAGTACCACATCCACACTTGGCTCCTCCACACCACATGAACTTTTCCTCAGTGGTGGCGGGTACTATCTTGCGTTTTTGAATGCATTCGGAATTGTTTTTTTTATTCCATTGTTCTTTTAGATATTTATTTAAGGGTAGAATGATAGACAACTACAGTACCATGGAAACCTGCCTGTGAAGAGAGATTACCATATGTAGCATATTTCCCCACACTGTAGCCTCACAACCTCACTCTTGTGTAAATACAGGCCTTTCTTTCTTTCTTTGAATGAAATGTACCGTAGAATTTGGTTTTAAATATGCTCGATGGCTTTTCCAAGGCCCCCCCCCCCCCAACTCCTAATGTTGCAGTCATCTACAAAATTCAATAAAAATGGAATTGGAGGTAAATGATGTATGTTACCATTCATATCCTAATATTTATCACACTATGGGCTAATTTCACGGAGCGAAAGTTTGATTTTGATGTATGATATGATGGACAACTTTCCTGCAAGTGTGTAGCCTCTGGCCGTGCTTCCTAAGCAAATCCGCACATCTCCCCACTTAGCTCAATCTCCAAAATCTTATTTGACGAAGTGAGTAAAGCCCACGCCCACCTGGATTATCTCATGTTGGTTAGGGAAGGATAGGATAGGTTGGATTGGGTTTATAGTACAGTACTTAAAGAGCAGCGATGATGTAGACGGGGAAAACTTTTCGCAGGTCTTGGACCCTACTCCATCCAGTTGCAACATATCTTGCTCATTACGCAGTGCATTGTTATATATGAATAAGGCTGACTAAGTGATGAATGAAGTGAGGTGTACTCAACAACAAGGCAAGAACACTCGGCAAGAATCAGTATCGCCACACGACGGCTAGTCATCCCCAGCAACCCTTCACCTACTTATAGGACTAGGTGTACGTTACTTCTCGTGAGGCGTCACATATGATCATTTAGTCCATCTTCATAAACTGCTGCCAGCATGTTATACATGTAATATAAACTTCCGAGTTTGCTGCAGATATAAAGGAGGACGGAGCGGGCCTAATCCAAGATCAACGGCCATGGACGCTCACTCAGTGTCGAGACACTTTTGAAGCGGCGGTGGCAAACCTACACAAAAGTCTGAAGGTGAGAGACTCGAAATATTTGTTTTAGTGTGTGTGTGTAGGTGTGCAAGACAGGATACTAATGTGAGTAACTTTCTTTAGGGCACGTACTAACTTTTGGAAAGCACAATACTAGAGGCGAGTGCTGAAGATATGGGAAGAAAAGTTTACACAAAGGAAGATATGATCTAATATCAGTATGTTACGATCCACAGGATCTGCCCGATGGTGGAGACCTCGTGTGGGATAAGGACGACAAAGACTGCATGGACTTTGTCACGGCCTGTGCAAACATTCGTGCCCACATATTTGGAATTTCACAGAAGACGAGGTTCGACATAAAATGTGAGTACTGTATTGTATTTCGAAAAGACTGCCCATGGTATGTTTGGTACATTGAGTATTGTACTTCAATTTTGTACACCCCCATGTTGATACTCGATTCCGTGTGTGTTAGCCCTTAAGGTGCATCTATGAACACAATCTGACAATGAGCAAAATAATTCACAAAATTCAAAAATATTTTTTTTCTTGTAGAATTATTAATTTTAATGCAAAATGTAAGGAAAAATTTAAATACTGTAACCCCGCGATTATCCGGGATTCAAACATCCGGAAAACGCCCTTATACGGCCAAAATCGTGATCGGATAAAGTTATCACAATATCCGGCCAAAATGGCCACAGGAACCGGATAAAAGCTGGTTTGGCCGGATGAATATTCGGCCATACCGTATTAATCCCGTCTGTGAGGAAGACGCATGGTGGAGGAAGGGGTGGGGTGGGTGGGTGGGTGGTGTCGGGAGGGTGGGAGGGGTGCGTCGGAAGGGACCACCTAGGTACAGGAATTACCATTAATTTTAGAACAATTAATCATAGCCAAAAACAAATGAAATAAGTACTAGTAATTATGTAATAACAAATAAATAAGTTTCCTAAAATTAATGTGCACAGGCTGAAGTTTCCTTAAAAAATATTGTGAGTTTTTTCCTCCTGGCGGCCTACGTAACGTGCTATAGCTGCCCCACCCCAAGTGGACCTGTCCAACACTGGTCAACCCATGTGCGTCCGTCCCTCGTGTTATACACAGTGCTGCGCCATTAGTGAAATATTTTTTTAAATAACTTTTTATTTTCATAGTAACTTTGAACATTTTTGGCCAAGATTATGTCTGGTAGCAGCATCAATCGTTCTGGAGGTGTTAAGAGGAAGACAGTTGTCGTAACAATTGAAGACAAGTTACTGTTATACACCTCAACCAGTGCGGCGTCACAGTGCTGCTCCATTAGTGAAATATTTTTTTAAATAACTTTTTTTATTTTCATAGTAACTTTGAACATTTTTGGCCAAGACTATGTCTGGTAGCAGCATCAATCATTCTGGAGGTGTTAAGAGGAAGAAGGTTGTCCTAGCAATTAAAGACAAGTTATGTGTTGTTCAACCAGTGAGGCGTCACAGGCAGCCAAATGCCTTTAACAAGTGAGGCGCCACAGGCAAGCCAAGCGCCTTCAACAAATGAGGGCATGCAAGCGCTTCAACAAGTGAGGCCTCACAGGCAACCCAAATGCCTTTAACCAGTGAGGCTTCAGCAGCTGGCAGTCAAAACTAACTTTGCTTAATGAACTGTACAGTAATTTTAAGTGTTAATTTTAGTGTTGTGTTAGTATAGGTTACGTAAATTGTTAAGAATTCTTAACTTCAAGATGTGTGGCATCAATCAAGAAGACGAACACCAACAAGGTAAGTTGAGGTTTCTAGTTGAATATTTAATAATTATATGTGGCAAGGCAATTCAAATTATGTTGTTTGTAGTATAAAAGTAGTTGGAAATTGTCACTTTTGGACTCATAGGTGAAAAAGTACCATTATCCGAAAAATGTGATAATCCGGCTGGGGGTCCTTCCCATATAGTCCGGATGATCGAGTGGAGACAGTAATGTAATTATCCACATATTTAGTGGTTAGGTGAGCTGTACAGTATTAGGTTGGTGGATAGGATGCCCAGCTGGCATGGGTAGCATGCAGACTTTTGCCTGCAACCCTCCTAATATACTTTGCAGCCCGTCTAGCTTATTTTGCAATGTGACCAGCTAAGCATTGCTCCTCTAATTTTGCAATTTATCCAACTGATGTTGCAACTCTTTCTTACAGCCATGGCAGGTAACATCATCCCAGCGATTGCCACCACTAACGCTATTATTGCCGGACTCATCGTGCTCGAGGCCCTCAAGATCATCCAGGGAAGCACCAGTGAGTGCAAAACGGTACGTTGACAATATGTGTCTTTGTGCTCGTAGCACTATTGTCTGCAACCTGAAGAGGATTGCATATTGTGCTAGCCTCTGTTGTGTGTATTGGTCTAAATTATTCTGTTTCTAATTAGTGTAATAAATATCTAATTCCTTAGCAATTATATTGCTAGAATTTTTCAATTGTTGTTTAATTAAATTAACATAATGTTTATCTTTAACAAATATTTTTCGTATGTTGACAGTAACGGAAAATGCCTTTGGTGGTTTAAACCTCCTAAGCTTATTCCTTGTCTGATCTCATAACAGGTATATTTAAATCGGAAACCCAATCCACGGAAGCGGCTGCTGGTCCCGTGTGCACTTGACAAGCCGAATCCCAAATGTTACGTTTGCTCCGAGAAGCCCGAAGTGTCGGTGCGTCTCAATATTGAAAAGACTACTGTCAAGACTTTAGAAGAGAAAATCTTGAAATCGGCTCTAAATATGGTTGCTCCAGACGTGGAAATATGCGACGGGAAGGGCACCATTCTTATATCCTCGGAAGAGGGGGAAACGGAAGGAAATAACGACAAAATGCTTAAGGTGAGGGTCGCTGTTTATTTGCCAGAATGCTTTTTTCCTGCCAAGGTCATGCCTTTAACCCTTAGATGGCTCCAATCGCTGTCTTTGATTACCTCCTGTGCTCAAATTGTCAAAAGTTTTTTTTTTTTTTAACATTAGTTTTGTGAACCATTTTTTTTTCATACATGTCACGATGTCAAACTTTTAATTACCCCGGAGCCGTTTAAGGATTGACATGAACTTGCAGTTCCTCTTTGATTATATGGCTTACCTGTGGCTGGTATTGAGTTATTTCTACTTGTGCTGTCCAGCTCAAGGCTAAACGTTTCTGCTAATGTGAAATGTGGTCCTGGAATGTATTAAAGGCTCGTCCTGTAAAGTGGCGGACTTATCTGTTGGCAGCTATGGAGTTGTTTTAGTTCTTAGACTCTGTCCTAGATGTTTTTCTAATATTTTCACATGTTTTGGTCTTTTTTTTTTTTTTTGCTTCATTGATATGTCTTTATGCTGTGTTTTTTCATAGTTGATACTAGCTATCCTTATCTCATCTGTCCCCTCTCAATATTGTTTTGTGATTTTGTTCCCTCTGGTTATTCTTTCCTCAATAATAAGGTCTCCCAAGGTCAATCGCCCACATCTAAAAACAACATTGAGCACAACTTTACAGTGGTCCAGGACAAACTGAAACGGTCGTATAGCACGACTTTACAGTGGTCCAGGACGAACCAGAACATCGTCGTTTCTTCATGTTCAGACTAAAGCACCTGCATTGGTGGATGAAGTGATACCAGCCAATTTAAATGATATAATAGAGAAATTATTCTTCCCAAATCATTTGGAATTTATTTTCCAATGTCTACATGTCTTGAATGTTCAATTAGCTGTCAGTAACACCTTGTGGTTTAACTGGTTGTTAAACTGATTTGAATGACTAGTAGCAATTTTTGTTTTTGTATTAATGGTGGCCAAAGTCTGAGTCAAAGATGTCTGACTAGTCTCATCAGTTCACTTGTCATTTTTGTACTTCAATCCTCAGTGTTATGTTTGTACCATAAATTGCATATTGTTGACCAGACCACACACTAGAAGTTGAAGGGACGACGACGTTTCCCATCGACTTGAGAATGGTCCAGGACGGACCGAAACGTCGTCGTCCCTTCAACTTCTAGTGTGTGGTCTGGTCAAAATACTTCAGCCACGTTATTGTGACTCATCGCCTGCATAAATTGCATATTTTCATAGAAATGACAACTGCCTTTCTTGTTACCTATTCTGAGTAGTTGGATCTCTTCCTTAGTTTCTGTACATTTCTGGGTTGCAAATTCCAGTATTTCATTTAATGTTTTCCTGCAAGGATTTTCTGTGTGAGACGCCCTCCAGGTAAGCTCTTGCTTACTTGTAGTGTTTGTTTATACTCTTGTCCTGATCATACCTGATCAACCAGGCTGTGATTCATGCATCAGGCGTATCCAACAGACATGTTGACCAGTCCAGCAACCAGGCCTGGTCTGGGACTGGGCCGCTGGGATGTTGAGCCCCGAAATCAATGCAAGGTAAGGTTGTCCTTAGCAACTTACTCTTTGGTATGCCCCAGTCTGTTCTGGTATTGTCTGTTCTATAAGTTTAAATTGGTATTCTCTGTGTTGTGGCTGTCTGTAGAATGGCAGATATTGCTCAAGGGCCCTGTACTCGCCTAGTTTTGCTTGCAGGGGTTGAGCTTTGGCTCTTTGGTCCCACCTCCCATCTGTCAATCAACGACGGTTGATTGTGCCTATTTACTGTTGTTCAGTTGTCCCATTGCTTGGCAATGTCTTCGGGGTGCGGGATATTGCTAAATGGTCATAACGTTTGGCTGTCTATGAGGTGTAAGATATAGGTAGACAGCCCTGCATATTGTAATGCAGTTTAGCGGTCATTTGAGCTTGACTGTGTGCACGGGGTGCGAGATATTGTCAGCCGGCCCAAACTATTCCAACTGCTGCTTGTTGACGGCTTCTTTGGGTGCTTTGATTTCTTGTGTGTCGGATTAATGGGTGTTCACTCACTGTTAGCATACTCATCATAGTCTCTCAAAACATGCATGACGTATCAAAGGTCAATAAACAATAATATTTTATGTGAATGATATGACTTTTGGAGATTTTAACTCTTGTGTTGTGTTGCAGGAATTCAGCGTCGTGGACGGGACTCGTCTTAACTGTGACGACTTCCTCCAGAACTACACCCTAACCATCAACATAATTAACAGGTCGGTGTTGTCGAGGTGGCCAGTTATTAATATCGTTCGCCTTGTACGCTTTTGTTATCGTATTAGCATCCTTAGTGATATTTGGCACCTTTTGAACATCCTGCACTTTTGATGGTGCTACATAGTTTCCCCAGCTTGGTGCCTTCTTTTAATAATTACTTAGTACTTGGAACAAGTACTTGGAGAGATGGTTCTCTCTTATCCTTTCTTTTATTTTTTACTTAGTAGTTTTCCTGCTTTACTTTTCCACTTAGACTTCACTCACTCCCACCTCGCTTACTCTTAGGACTTACAATGGCCCCCTCTGTACAGTACGTCTCGGCTGTGACTTGATAAGGGTGCAGAACGAGCCAAAATGTCATCATCACTCCTTTCCGTGTGTGGGGTCGGGTTATTTATTTCCATCCGTGTTATTGTGACTTGGTAGCAACCACCTGCAAGGAATAATTTAAGGAAAAGCTTTAAAAAATATATACCGAACTGAGTTATGTAATTGAGATTGGTGTTGCAGCAGATGTTGAAAAGTGAAGAGGTGAGGGGAGCCCTTTCTCAGACGCACATGTAAGAAAGAGGGTAATGTGTGTGCCATAATATAAGGTGCAACTTAGTGTCAAGATGCATGGAGAGGGTTATCTTGAGATCTTGAGAAGGGAGGGGCAATTTTAGTACGTTTCATCGTACCTTTATTGAAAGTAAGGAATTTTTTATGGGAAAACATGATTGTTGCATGAAGATAAAATATATAATGGGATGACGTGGACCGAAAACACAAGTCTTATCTGCTGGTAAATAAGAGACATTTAGAGCATATAATGTTGCCATTGTGCCCAGTACCTGGGTTGTGTCTGTGTCAGTGTTCATAATACTTGGCAGCACTAAAATTGCATTTCTGGCTCTTAACCACTGCACTGCGCACCTAATTTCGGCAAAAACTTCTTAGTGAAATTGTCAAGGACATATTTTTGTTGTTTTTATAAATGTTTAAGTAAAGTTGATGTCAAAATGTTTCCAAACTCCACTATTTCCATTTAAAATCACAGAGTAATGAAAATATTAAAAAACATTAAAATAGAGCCTAATTAAATAAAAAAAAAGCAACTCTAAGAGCGCCTAAAGGCGCTTTGCGCAGTGCCGTGGTTAATGGAAATTTTATTATGTATCATGTGGTTAGAGTTGTGCAGGTTTGAGATGTTCCTTTACAACTATATACAGCATGGAGGAAATGTTGAGGCTCTACAATGGAATGGAACCTGTGCCCCTAATCTCCTACCTCGGGCGCACGCAACGAGGGGCATGGGTTTAATTCCGTTGTGTGGCCCTCAATATATTTTATTTAGCATCTTTGTGTAATTGTGGATTTCATTGTGTAGGAGATCTTTTTAATTTTTTTTTTTTTTTTTTTTTTTTTTTTACTTTATACAGTGAGAAGCTTGAGGAAGGCGCAGAATTTGAAGTGATCGGTGACCCCGATGAGCTTAAGAAGGCACAAGATGAACAATCAAAGATGGAGGTGGAGGAAAGAGAAGCCGCTAGCAATGGTCCAAGTAAGCATTTATTTATATATATATATATTTTTTTTAATGCCGAGACTTGTAGTTAAACAATGACTAATGAAAGGTTTTCAACTAAAGTTCATTACCAAAGATGTGTTTTATAGTCTGCTTCTAGAAGGTGTTTGTTGTCTCAAATCCTGGAGCATCCTTTGGTAGTTCCTCGATTACATCGGAACCTGTTTTAGAGTGAGGTTGTCCAGTTAAGCATGACTGAAGGTGATGGTGGACTAGACATCAGTCTGCTGGAAACGGTACCTATGTTACATTCACCTGGACTCTAGGAGACTCGAACCTTGGACCCCATATGTGTGTGTGTGTGAGGCCGAAGGTCTTATCGACCGAGCTATTGAACCTTGGACCCCATATGTGTGTGTGTGTGTGTGTGTGAGGCCGAAGGTCTTATCGACCGAGCTATTGAACCTTGGACCCCATATGTGTGTGTGTGTGTGAGGCCGAAGGTCTTATCGACCGAGCTATTGAGTAGTCTTGATGAGAAATGTTTCCAAAAGCAGCATCCTGCTGCTTTTGGTGCCTATGCTGCCTTGTGATGCAGATGAGGAGTCACAATAACGTGGCTGAGAAATGTTGACCAGACCACACACCAGAAAGTGAAGAGACGAACAACTTTTCGGTCCGTCCTGGACCATTATCAAGTCGATTGTGATGATTGCCTTGTGATAATTCTGAGGATCAACTTCTGCATAGCCTGGTGGATGTAGAAGGTGGGGAGGAAAGTTTGTCCTCGCCGTTACATCCATTTCTTCCTTCCTGATTGCCCTGTGCGGCAGTGATAAGCTGCTTGAGGTTAATGGCAAGATGTTACTTGGGCTGAACCATATAGAAGTTGTTGGTATCATAAAGGGGGCTCCCTCAGTATATGTCAAGCTTGTAATCATCGTGGTTCAATAGCTTCCCCCACCTCTTCACCCTGTTGATGCAACTACAGCAGATTGCAATGTCTTCCCTGCTAGGAATGTCTTCAGGGGTTCTCTGCAAAACCTTATCCCAGGATGAGAATATGTGGTAAAGGGCCTATCTGATGGGTCCATGGCATCTGCAATGGCAGCCATCAGTGACACTTCTTTCAGTGGTATGAAGAGTAGCAGCTTGAAACCTCTTAACTGACCTTTGGGGTTCAGAGTGCCAATTCAGTAGAGTCTCAAAGGACAGAGGACAAGGCTTCTCGAGTCTTCATTGTCAGAATCCGTTAGGTCCTCTAGAAACTATTATTGTGATGCGTTGGTTTCTGGGGGAAAGTAGCTGAAAAGGCTTGTCATCAGCTTCCTAGTTGCTGTCAATAGAATTATTCTTAAAAATGGAAATGTTGATAAAGCTATTGTGGCTCTTAAGGGTGCACTCTTATGGGCATTGTGTCTGCTAGCATTGGAAGCCAGTCAGCATTCTGAAATCATCTGGTCAGAATATACATCAGACTGGAAGCAGCTGCATCTAACAGGCTGGTCAGAGACCGGGACAGTGATCCCAGTAACCAACAGAAGCGTTTTTCTCTTTTATGATGGGGTCGGCCTTTGGTAATTCGTTGATTGCGTGAATGGTTGCTAATGTGGGGTGTTGCCAGTGAGAGAGAGAGCAGCAGCACATAAAGAGCTGCAGCTGCAAGTCATCTCGGCAGCACACTTGTTAGGAGAGCAATGGGTTTTGTGCAACTATTTGAGTGTATTGTATATTATCTCCTCGATGACACCGTAGAGGTGTCCAAGGATGTGGGTTTGATCCCTTTGTACAACCTTAATATTTTTTCATGGGTACGTTATGTTTTTGTAATGTGTGAGGTCCTGTATAGTTTTGTGATAACCGTGTCCAGAAATAAGATATGTTGCTCAAGGAAAAATCATTGCATTTGTTGGACAAAAGTGTTTTGTGCCTTTAACGTAATGTTAAAAAATTTACATTTGCAAAATTAGAAGATTAAATATACATACTGTATATTTAAACACAAACTACCATGAAGATTTTTTATAATGTAATTTGCTTTGAATAGAATGAGTCATGAGGCAGTGTCATAAATGAATCGGTGTAAAAGGGGGTGACTCAAGTTGTGGTTAGGGAGCAAATAGCCACAACCTGGCTGAACAGGTTGCTATGAATAGAAACATTGACAAGTTGACTGTAAATAATTGTTTATCTTTTACAGAAACCGCTGCCGCTGCTGCGTCCTCTGCCACAGCGTCTGATGACGAAAATGATCTGGTGTGCTTGGACGATGAGGAGGCCGTGAAGAAGCGGAAGATGGAAGATGATACTGCTCAGCAGCCTAGAAAAAAACTAAAGCCAGAGTCAATAGATGATGATGATGTCATCGTACTGTAAAAAATAGAGCAGGCATAATGGCGGGGAAGATGCACAAGTGTTCTAACACTTAACTCATTCCAAATTACGTGCCAGAATGACATTACCCAGAAAGTGGGGAAAGAGCAATGTCACATACCAATGCAGTATAAAACACTTAATGTAGACTGCAGTGGGAGTTTGTGTTCTGGGTTAGTACCTCAATGATAGTTAAAGGATAACAAAAATCCGACAAAAGATAGTGCAACAGCTGAAAACCATTTTTGGGTGTAGGAAAATGTTCATTAGTTATGTTGCCGTTTAAATGTCTACTTCATTTATACAAATTTCTAAAGAGTTACCAGCATTTTATAGTGTCCCATTTTTTCTTCTACAAATATTTTTGTTACTTTGTATTGTACACAAGATAAAATCATTCATTACAAACTGTGTAGCTTTTACTTGTCATTACTTTAATTGTATCAGGTTAGGACAATGTATTGGGAGTTACAAATATCTCGAGTATTGCCTTGCAAAATTATGGAAAGTTATAACTCAAAATGACATCGGCGAATGGGTCAATGTTAACGGTAAATAGGTGCCCAGGAGTTACCTAACTGTCGTGGGTTGGGATCCTGGGGAGGGTCTCAGGGGACCTGGGGAGGGTCTCAGGGGACCTGGGGAGGGTCTCAGGGGACCTGGGGAGGGTCTCAGGGGACCTGGGGAGGGTCTCAGGGGACCTGGGGAGGGTCTCAGGGGACCTGGGGAGGGTCTCAGGAGACCTGGGGAGGGTCTCAGGGGACCTGGTTATGCTTTATAAGCTTCCCGTCTCCAATCGTGCCCTGAGGGTGACATGACGAAGGGGCTGGAATAAGAGGAATGAACACTCGACAAAACATTTCAAAATGCATGGTAATAACTACCCACAGATCAGAGAACTGAGAATGTGACATTTTCACTCAACTGGCAGATAAAAGTAGTTTCATTCCTAGTTTGCTCTTGATGTAATCTTCACGATGAAGAAAGATACTACATACTGTACTATGCAACAACGATCACACAAACACTGAACCAAGCATGCAGAAAAACCCACATGTGAAAAATAGAGAATGCTAAACGTGTTTTTGGCTCAATTCGTCTTCATCAGAGCATTTTAGAATGAAGAAAATGTGAATGGCAACCTTATATCTCCCAGGGCAGGTCACCTGACCACCAAGAACATAAGAATAAAGGCCAATTAACCTACATACAAGAATATGATAGGGGATCCCTACAGATAAAAGGGGGACGAGAAAGTGGTTAAATGGATGCTATATTGAAGCTTATATGGGGATCTAATTTGTACATACCAGGGCTTACATTAAGGGTGTTGTTATTGTTTGATCAGAGCAGACTCTGTTACATTTCGTTCAACGAAACCCTTACTTTTAATATATTTCGCCCCTCTGAAGTCGATAGAATGATTACATAAACTGGAATGTAAATACAATGCACTGGTTGCCTGGATCAGTGCAACCAGTGCACTGCTAATGTACTGGATCAAGAAATAAAGTTAAAAGTCCATAAATGGCCTAATAGAATCGAACTCATTATTTGCTGCATTTACAGAAACTCACAAAAGACCACATGGATAGTGAAATCTGGTTTCCGAATTATAAATTATATAGATGTGACAGAGTAATTAGGTTAAGTGGAGGAGTAGGTCTATATTAAAGAGCTGGCATGCACAGAGCTCCTGAACTTGTCCAATGAGGTGGTAGAGGTACTTGGAATCAAGGTAGAAAATATTAATCTACTTATTATTTTAATATGGAAACCGCCAGATGCAACAGTTGAGGAATTCACTGAACAGATCCACAAATTAGAGAATATCCTTGATAACCTAGCAAACCCAGTACCAGATATAATCTTCCTTGGAGACTTCAATCTACCCAGTTTAATATGGAGAATAGTAAACAATAACATTATAGCAGGAAATAACCAACCACAGGTCAGAGAACTACTGAGATTGTGACAAATTCTCGCTCAGTCAGATTACAGAACCAACTAGGAACGAAAACGCTGGACCTGATGTTCACGAACAATGACGAGCTAATCAGAGACATTACTGTCTCGGACCACAAGCTCATTGAAGTGCAAACTAACATTAATGACGGTAGTAGGCCCAAGAGAAACAACAAGCGAGAAGGGTTATTCAATAAATTCAATTTTAATAACAAAAGGATAGACTGGGAGAAAATGTTCTAAAATAAAAATCCTACACAAGGAATAGAAAAACTGACTTCTGAAACATATAAAATCTGTGAAACATGTTCCTTTGAGGAAAGCCAGCAAGAGGTCAAATATAGAAAGAACGCAGACGACATTACAAAAGGAGGAAGAAATTAACGGAAATGGTAAAGCAGACACGACTCCATACAAAGAAGAAATAATTTAAACAGGGAGATTGAAGAAATCGAACAGAGACTGAAGCATTCCTATCAGACTGAAGAAAGGCAACTAGAACAGAAAGCAATTCAAGAAATAAGAAAAACCCAAACTATTTCTTCACATATGCTAAATCAAAAGCAAAAACCACTGCCAGTATTGGACCTATTTGTATTAGTGAAGGTTCATACACTGAGGATGACAAAGAAATTAGTGAAGTCCTAAAAAAGCCGTATGAAGACATGTTTAGCACTCAGATACACAGCATGAAATTGGAAGATTCGGACAATTTCTTCATGTGTGATATTCAAACCCCTGTAAATATAACTGATATAAACACGAGCGTAGCAGATTTTGAAAGAGAAATTGACAATATGCCCATGCACTCAGCCCTGGATCCAAAATCATGGAATTCAATATTTATAAAGAAATGCAAAGTGCCGGTAGCACAGGCACTCAGTATAGTGTGGAGGAAGAGCTTGGACAAGGGGGAGATGCCAGATGCACTTAAAGTAGCAGAGATAGCCCCTCTACACAAGGGAGGGAGCAAAGCATTGGCAAAGAATTATAGACCAGTTGCACTAACGTCCCACATAATAAAAGTATTTGAGAGAGTGATCAGGAGTCAGGTCACTAGATTCATGGAAATCAATGACCTTCACAATCCAGGCCAACATGGATTTAGAGCAGGAAGATCATGCCTCTCACAGCTACTTGACCATAATGACAAAATCACTTGAGGCATTAGAGGAAAAACATAATGCAGATGTTGTATACACAGACTTTGCAAAGGCATTCGACAAATGTGACCATGGAGTGATTGCACACAAAATGAGGTCAATGGGTATAACTGGTAAAGTAGGACGCTGGATACTCAATTTCCTGTCGAACAGGACACAAAGAGTAACAGTCAAGTAAAATCGAGTCCGAGCGCAGTTAAAAGCTTTGTACCTCAAGGTAGAGTCCTTGCACTCCAAATGTACTCACTAGAAAGGAGACGAGAGAGATATCAAATAATATACACGTGGAAGATACTGGAGGGCCAAGTACCAAATCTGCACAGTAAAATAACAACGTACTGGAGTGAACGACATGGAAGAAAATGCAGAACAGAACCAGTGAAGAGCAGAGGTGCCATAGGCACAATCAGAGAACATTGTATAAACATCAGAGGTCCACGGTTGTTCAACACCCTCCCAGCGAGCATAAGAAATATTGCCGGAACAACCTTAGACATCTTCAAGAGGAAACTACATTGTTTCCTCGAAGGAGAGCCGGACCAACCGGGCTGTGGTGGGTATGTGGCCCTGCGGGCCGCTCCAAGCAACAGCCTGGTGGACCAAACTCACAAGTCGAGCCTGGCCTCGGGCCGGGCTTAGGGAGTAGATGAACTCCCAGAACCCCATCAACCAGGCCCTTCCAATATGTTATACAGGTTCTAAATTTCCTTTAGGAGTAGTGCCTTAGGCACAGAGCACACTTTGAACGTCAGGGCCAGATTCACGAAGCAGTTACGCAAACACTTGCGAACCTGTATATTTTTGGCGGCTTTGTTTACAATTATTAAACGGTTAATGAACTCCGAAGCACCAGGAGGCTGTTTATAACAAAAAACAACGGTTGATTTGGGAAGTTTTCATGGTTGTAAACTGTTTAATAAATATAACCAAAGCCATAAAAAATTGAGGAAAGATGTACACGTTCGTAAATGTTGCATAACTGCTTCGTGAATCTGGCCCCAGGTCCGCAGCTCTTAACTTGTCTATTTAAACTCTCCCAGCAAGCATTCAATTGAATTTCATTTTGCTAATAATTTGGATCGTCCAACACTAATTGCCTCAACCTAACCAGGCTGTTGTGGACACACGTATATGGGCCTATACAGACTGATTCAGTCGAATTAGGCCCGTTACGGAGCAAACAGCCTATTGCAGGTTGACTGGAAGTTCGCCATACTTGAAGGCAGTCTTTGGGATTTTTGTTGCCCGGTTTTTATTGGACATTTTGGTTTTGTTTATGGCGTTTTTGGATTGGGGGGGTCCGGGGGGGGCCCTCCCCAAACAAAATGCCCAACAAAAAACTCCCCCCCCCCCAAAAAAAAAAAAAAAAATCCCAAACCACCCAACAAAAAAAATCCCAAACCACCCAACAAAAAAAATCCCAAACCACCCAACAAAAAAAATCCCAAGACCCCGAAGTATTCAACAGTCACCCAACAACATCAAAATCCCAAAACAAAACCCCCAAAAGTTTATATAACAAATAATGTTGGGATTATAAAGTGGTGACCTGTTATAGAAGCCTCGATCGCTTGGACAAATCCACAAGGGCCGTGACGGGGATTCGAACTTGCGTTCTCTCGCTTGGGATGGTGAAGTGTCCAAACTCGAGATGTTGGACAACGCCCCCGTCCGCCCCGGCTCGTCATATCCGTTTGGAAAACCAGATTGCAACAGACTTTTCCTTGTATTTTCACATGCATGCAAAAGTCTGCAACGACTTTTCCTATAGTCGACTCGCTGCCGGCGCCATTGTTAGCTGGCCGCACACGGATTTGTTCCCGGTAAAAACTCACGATTCTGAGCACCCATCAGCTCCAGTCATCGCGGTTTTGTGAGGAAGAATACATCAGTACTCCAAGACCCAGACAATATATTGTTTTGAAGGAAACAATTCCGATTTCGTCTACAATTGACGGAGAAACAACGTTGTTGATTACCTGCTGTCCAGCTGACTGGTATTCTGCGCAACCCAGTACGCAGGCGACCCAAACTTTCGTACCGCACTTTATTTTTTCACTGATGAGGTCACTGACCAGGTTCTACCCTGAAGGCCGAGGCGATATCCCGCGGGCATTGCCACAAGGAAGCACCTTAGAAGGTGTACTGAGCCTGACAGGGAAAGGTAGGCCAAACAGCTCATTTAGGTGTTAGGTATCCCTGATTCCACCTGGGGGAATCATTCTACAACCTCCGTTAGAGGGGAATGAATTTCTCCAAGCCTAGGAGTGTCTCAGGCATC